GTCATTCTAACTGTCCGTCTAAAAGTGCAGTCCCGGGACATGCCCTGAAGCCGGCCCCCAGGAGGGCAGACATCTCTGAGCTACCCCGGATACCAAAGATCAGAAGAGACGAGGGTGGCAGCAGAGAAGATGCAGCCCCTGCCCGTGGGCAGAGCATCGAGATCCCCAGCGCCTGTATCAGCCGCCTGACAGGCAGGGAGGGCCCCGGGCAGCCAGGGCGAGGTGTCCAGGCAGAGAGCGAGCCCAGCAGCAGGGCGCCCCAGGAGCCCAGCAGGCACACGGGCAGCTCCCGGCCCCCGGCCCCCAGCTCCCACGGCAGCCTGACCCCCGTGGGGCCCTCACGAGGGAAGGGTGTTGGGTCGACCTTCGAGAGCTTCCGGATCAACATTCCCGGGAACACGGCACATGCCGGCAGACTCTCCAGCCCCGGCTTCTGCAACACGTTCCGGCCCGTGGACAGCAAGGTGCAGAGGAAGGAGAACCCTTCGCCCCTCTTCTCCATCAAAAAGACAAAGCAGCTCAAAAGCGAGATCTACGACCCATTTGACCCCACCGGCTCTGACTCGAGCCCCCCCAGCAGCAGCCCTGAAAGTCTGGGCTCCGGCCTGCTGCCGTCCGAGATCACGCGGACCATCTCCATCGACAGCCCGAAGGCCCCGGCGCTGCAGGCCGTGCGCTGCGTCACCTCCTACACGGTGGAGAACGTCTTTGGCGTGGAGCCTGCACCCACTCGCAGGCCGCCTTCCGGTGTGCTCCAGCTCCAGGGCGAGGGGGCTAAGGGGGCCTCTGACACAGAGCGGGAGGGGCTGGACGAGGAGGGGCCTGCGGAGAGCCAGGGCACTGCCGCCCGGGTGCAGAGGCCGGGCCCCCCGGAGCCGTGGGACGAGGAGGACAGGGCGTCCTGCGGCACCTTCTTTGGCTCCGAGGAGCGGACAGTGACCTGTGTGACTGTCGTGGAGCCAGATGCCCCTCCCAGCCCGGACGTGCCACCAGCAGCCACCCACAGGGTCGTGGAGCTGCGGTCCCCTTCCCGGTCCCGCTCCACGTCCAGCTCCCGCAGCAGGAAGAAGGCCAAGAGGAGGAGGGCGGCCCGGGAGCACCAGAGGACCCGCTCTGGGACCCGCTCGGGCTCCAGGGACAGGAGCTCTCGGTCAGCGTCCCCGTCGGCGGGCGAAGACCACACCAAGAGGCACCGGTCCAAGGCCAAGAGCCGGAGGTCTTCCAGCCACGACCGCTCCAGCAGCCATGAGAGAGCTAAGAGGAGGAAGGCCAAGGACAGGAGCAAGGAGTGGCGGCGAGGGCCCTGGGGCCACGGCCGCAGGCCCTCCCGGTCACGCTCGGGGAGCCCCGGCAGCTCCTCCTATGAGTACTACGAGAGCAGGAAGAAGAAGAAACGGAGGTCGGGGTCCCGACCTCGGGGGCGAGAGTGCTCCCCCCACAGCAGCCTGGAGAGGGCGCACAGGCACCGGCACCAGCGCGAGAGGAGCCGTGAGCGGCCAGACAAGAAGGGGAGCATGGCGCGGCCGCGAGAGAGAAAGCGGAGGTCTCGGTCACCCAGCTCAGAGCGCAGAACGCGGGAGCCCCGGCGGCCACGTTCCCGTGAGAAGCGGCCCCGGACCTGGTCCCGTTCACCGGAGCGGAAGGGGGCTGTGCCGGAAGCTTCCCCAGGCCCCCGAGCGCCGGGGGAGCCCAGGCAGGACGGAGACCACAGGCCACCAGCCCTGGCGGAAGCAGAGGTCCCTCCCGAGCTGGCAGTGGCCGTGGCCGTGGCCCAGGAGGCTCCCGCAGAGGCCCCCCCTGCCCCGGAGGTGCCAGCAGAGTGTGTGCCCGATGACCTGGATTACGGTGACTCCGTGGAGGCGGGGCACCTCTTTGAGGACTTTTCAGGTGACGCTGTCTTCATCCAGCTTGACGACATGAGCTCCCCACCTTCTCCTGAAAGTACCGACTCCTCCCCAGAGCGAGTCTTCCCGCCCAACCCTGGGTTGCCTCCAGCCAGCGTGGCCATGGCCGCCATCCAGAGGGAGGTGTCCCTGATCCACGGCGAAGACGCCGCGCAGCCCCCGCCGAGGGCAGAGGGCCTCCAGGAGCAGCAGGCACTCGGGCAGGACGTGGCGGAGGCCTCCGCGGTGCCAGGTGCCCTGGGTGTGCTGCCCGTGGGGAAGGAGGACGGCCCCACAGAGAGCGGGCAGGGGCAGGAGGTGGCGGGGCCCGAGGAGGCGGTCCCGCAGCCCGCCCTGCTGCGCTCCAGAGCCCTGGTGAAGAGAGTCACCTGGAACCTCCAGGAGTCGGGGGCCAGCACCCTGGCAGAGGACAGAGCCCCAAGTGAGTAGCGCTGCCGCTGCCGCAAAGGCACGTGCAGGCCCTGGGCGGGCGGGGAGAGTCCCGGCAGGTGCAGGGAGGCAGTGACCCGAGAGCGGGCTCGCACCTTCCTGGCTTCTTGGGGTGGGGCTGCACCTCCAGGAAGGGGCAGGTCGAGGGTCAGCCTGTGGCCTTCCTCGTGGGGCGCTCTTCCTGGAGCACTCACCGCCCCTGTCTGGCCCCCAGGGATGGCACTTCACAGGCTGCAGAAGCCCCGGGAAGGAGCCTGGGACGTGGAGGACATGGCTCTGGGGGGCGTCAGGCAGGCGACATTCTCCGGGTTGCCTCCTCCCAGTCACGTGCTTCCGGAGCCTGGGTTCCTGGACCCAGACCCCCCTCAGGTAGGTGCCTGGGCTGGGGGCCGTGGGCTGTGCCAGGCTGGCACTGAGGCCACAGGGCTCTGCTGGCACACAGCAGCTCAGCTGCCGTGTTCTTCCGCAGGTCTGCAGCCCTGATGCGCCCGCTGCCCCAGCTCAGCTGCCCACGAGCTTCCCGCCCACAGGCTTCCCGCCCACAGGCTTCCCGCCCTGCATGCCGGCCGGCCAGCCCCTGCTCCAGCCCCTCCTGCAGGGGGCCTTGCCGCTGCAGGGCTGTGGGCTGCCACAGAGCCTCGCCCCCGTGCTGCCTGTCCTGACTTCAGCCTCGGAGCCAGCCAGTCAAGCCACCGTCGCCAGCAACTCGGAGGAGAAGACCCCTGCCCCCAGGCCAGCCGCGGAGAAGACCAAGAAGGAGGAGGTAAGTCCCAACCCTCCAGCTTCTCCAGCCTCCCGGGCTGAGTTTAGGGGCAGAAGCCAGAGAGGTGGGCCTCAGTCAGGACCGCAGAGAGCACACAGATTTGCCCCTGGCGCCTTTGGGGGACCACGGTGCCCTCACCAGAGGGCACCCCAGGCCCCTGCCCCGGTCCTGCGCAGTGGGTCACGGGCACGTCTTTGCTCCTAGTACATGAAGAAGCTGCACATGCAGGAGCGCGCGGTAGAGGAGGTGAAGCTGGCCATCAAGCCCTTCTACCAGAAGCGGGAGGTGACCAAGGAGGAATACAAGGACATCCTGCGCAAGGCCGTGCAGAAGGTGGGCCTGGCTGGGCAGGCAGGGCTGCACACACGTGTGTTCAGGAACCCCCGAGGTCACGGGCAGCACGTCGCTGCACAGGGTGGTCAGTCGGCCCGAGTGCGGTGGGTCGGTGCACTCCTGTTGACGGACTCTGAGGTGTCCGAGTGTAGCCCGCCGGGCACAGCCAGATGCAGGATGGGCCGCGCTGCCTCATCCTGGCAGCGGGGCGCAGTCCTCGGTGTCTGCCTGGAGCCGCCCCTCGCAGCTGCTGGGGAGCTGCGTGTTAGCGCCCGCACCCAGGGCCCTGGCTTGCACCACTTGTTAGATAGATGACGCGAAAATTGCCCAGGCTACGATTTGCAGCAGGCTCAGCACATCTCCCACCAGGGTCTGGGCGCAGGTCCTGCCTCCTCCTGGCCCGTGGCACCCGTGGGTCCCTCAGCAGCCCTGGGGGGACGGGGGGGGGGTGGGAGCGGCCGCTGCGTCGCTGCCAGGGTGCTGGCTCCCAGGGCCTGCTCGCAGGGAGGGCGGGCTCTGACTGCAGGTGTGCTGTGCAAGATCATCTGGGTGATTGCACCTCTCTCTCCAGATCTGCCACAGCAAGAGTGGCGAGATCAACCCGGTGAAGGTGGCCAACCTGGTGAAGGCCTACGTGGACAAGTACAGGCACATGCGCAGGCACAAGAAGCCCGAGGCCGGGGAGGAGCCGCCCACCCAGGGGGCCGAGGCCTGAGGCCAGGCAGCTGCAGGCCATGAGCCTGGGGCTGGTGGCATTGCTGTGTCTGGAGTGGCAGGAAACTGGGGATGCCATCTTTCCTGCCTTCAGGTTCCCGTGATGGTACCTGCTGTCTGCACCTGTCTTGCTCACAGTTCAAACTGGACCTTTTTATATGTGTATTATAGACACACAGTTTCCATTGTGTTCTAATTTATCAAAAATGCATTATCTTTAGAAACTTCTTGATTGACTTAATACTTGAAGGTAAAGCCTTTGGTGATAAGGGGTCTCCTGGCTGGAAGGGGTTGGTGGGGGTGACTGATAAATCTTGGGACGGCCTCCTGCCAGCAGCCATTTGTGTATCTGTCTGAATTAGGAGTTCCCTCCTCTTTGCCAGTCATGTTGCGCTCCTGTACATAACTGCTCAAGTTTGCGCCCAATTCAGCCTCATCCCATGAGGCAGATCAGTTTTGGTGGAACCCAAAGACTGGGGACAGCCACTGGGTGTGGAACAGAGCTGGCCATCATGGGGCCATGGGGAGCCCAGCTGTGACCGCCCTCCCTAGCACACCTGGTGGGAGCAGCTTCCTCCCAGCTCCTGCCTGTCGAGGGCAGGCATGGCATGTTCTCAGAGCAGTCTGTTGGCCGGAGTCCTTCCCTGAAGACAGCAGCAGTGTGGGCTGCAGGGAGGGCCACAGCGTGCGTGGGTGCAGGGTCATCTCCCTCCCCGGCCCCCGCATCTCACATGCGGAGGTGACAGGCAGCCAGGGCACTGCCAGCAAGTCCTGGCTTCCAGGGATGGGGAGAGGCCTGGTGGTCCCCGCAGCCAAGGCCTGGACACCCACGCCCACCCCAGTCAGGACACCAGCACTGGTTCTGAGGCTCTTTTTATTGGACCGGGGAGGGCTGGGGTCTGGCCCTAGGCGGCTTGCTCCAGCTCCATGAGGATGTGCTCGATGTCGTCGTAGAAGCTGTTGGTGCTGGACAGGCAGAGGCTGAGGCTGCTGTCGAGGGAGGACACGCCTTCGCGCTGCACACCCTCCAGGCAGGTCCGGCACAGCCTCGGCTCCAGCTGCGGGAGGGCGGGAGGGCATCTGTCAGAGGGCGGGCACCGATGGGGCTTGCGAGCCTCCTGCCCCGCCCCCGAGGGCCTGGCCTCACCTTCACCAGGACCAGGGTCTTCTCCTTGGGCCTCCCAGCAGACAGGTCCTGCCCAAAGCCCAGGTAGATGGTGTAGTGGGGGGAGCCCCGGCGCTGCCGTGCCCGGAATTCCAGCAGCTCTAAGGGAGGGGGATCTGTTGAGTACCTGGCAGGCAGGTGCTCCCAGAGGACCACGTGGAGACAGCCCCCAAGGCAGATGCCTCACTGACCTCGGAAGAAGGTGCCGTAGTCGAAGATGGGGGTGTCACAGTTCCGCGGCAGCAGGCGGGCAGGGGTGGAGGGGCTGGCAGAGCCCAGGGGGCCGCCCACCTCCCAGTACACCTTGCACTTGCCCATGCGCCGGGCCCACAGCCACAGCCCCCGCAGCTCCAGCTGCAGCCCGGGGGCCACGTGCCGCAGCAGCTCCTCCGTGTAGCGCAGCTGCTTCTGGTCGGGGAGCTCCGCCGGGCTGGGGAACGCCACGTGCTGGGGCTCTGCAGCCTGCACAGCTGGGCCTGGGGGGCCGTACAGGAGCAAGCAGCTTGGGCGCCCCACTACCTCCTGCAGCACTGCTCGGCCCTTGTACATGATGGTCACGTCCAGCACCCACAGGCTGGGCTCTGCAGAGTAAGCTGGGAGTGTCAGGGACGGGCAGGGGAGGGCTGCCCCCACCCCCAGCCCGGCAGCTTACCTCCCCCTGCAGTGAGGATGCTGGGGCCGGCGGCCCAGTGAGGCGGCCTCACGCCGGGCTCTGGAGCCGCACCCTGGCCTGCATCTGGAGAGGGCTGCCCGAACTGACAACTTGTCGTTAGGTCGGGGAGCTCAAAGATAGGGGCTGCTTCCACCGCCCATGCTTGCACCTCCCATGCTTTGAGCAGCTCCCCAGCAGGGAGCCCTGGGCCTGAGGGGGAGACGGTGGAGCTGCCACACTGGCCTGGCTCTGCCAGAGCCGTTTCTGCTGGACCACCCTCCCGGTTCCCAGCTCTCCACTCCCCACCCCTGGGGCCTTGCAGCTGCTGCTGCTGGGACCCTGCCCCAGCATACTTCTTGAGTGTCAGTGCTGGTACAGTGGGGGCCCTCCTGCTCTCCCCAGCGGTCTGTTAACCCTGCCTGCCCCTCCCCCGGGAACTGCCTCCTGCTGGGCAGAGTCCCCCACTCACCTCCAACACAGCCCCCGCTCAGGGCTGGCCCCTCCTGGCCCTCTCCAGGAGCCTGCTGGGGGTCTGGCTCTCCCCCACATGCAGCTTTCATTTGGTCCCCAAGGCAACTCTGCTGCATGGCCTGGAGCAAGAGGTTCCCCGCATCACCAGCTGGAACCGCATCACCAGCTGGAACCGGGTGTGGGCTGTGCAGCTCAGAGCCTCCTCTTGCCAGGAGTGGCCCTGGGGGCCCGCCCTGCAGGCAAAGACAGGATTGGCAGAAGCACCCCACCACCCCCCACCCTACCCCAGGTCCAGCAAGAGGTGGCAGACCCCAACACCCAGCAGAAGCAAGCAGACTACCTGTGTGTGGGGGCCACCCTCGAGGCCATCTTCCTCACCCTGGTCGATGCCTGGGCCTTCTGAGAATGGGGGTGAATGTGTCAGGATCTTGCTGTGACGGCCTGAGTAGCCCTGTCCCCACACCCACCCACCCACCAGGCAGCTGGCCCAGGCCAGCTTCCAAACCACCAGTCTGATCCAGAAGCAGGAGAGCCCCCCTCCCCCACCCTGCAGGGCTAGGGCTGCTCCTCTGCCCGGATCTGCCTTCTTCCCCGGCCCCCACCCACCTGCACAGTCCTCACCTCTCCCACCCAGCTCAGAGCTGAGCGCATACACCTTGTGAGGGTCGGCGGGGTTCCACGAGTTGTCCTGGAGCATCACAAACTGCCGCGTGCTGCGCAGCGCACAGCGGAAGTTGGTTTTCCAGCCTGCGCGCTCCGCAGCCTCGGGGGCCGGCTGGTCACCTCTGCTGCTGCTGGGTGGCCACCTGCCACGGGCCACTGCCCAAGCCTAGGGAGGAGGACCGAGAACGTGGGCCCGGGGCGGGGCCCGCAGGTCCTCCCGTGGGGGGAGGCCGGTGTCTCACCTTGAAGATGCGCGCGTCCGCCTCGCCCAGGTCTTTGCGTGCAAAGTGCTTCCAGGGCACTCGGAAGCGCGTGTGGGCCTGGTCCAGCCACTGCAGCCCCTCGTAGCGGCCGCTGCTGATCTGGTGCAGAAGCCACTCTCCAAACCGCACCCGAGGAGCCCCGCTGCAGGTGGAGGGGCCACGCAGACTTAGGGCCATGGCCCGGGGCTGCACCGCGCTTGGGGATGGGGGG